GGGGTCTGTTAACGTTCGCTTGCACTTGCAAACCAAGTTGATGCTACCAAGTTGATACTACGTTGGGGATGGGGTGTGTGTTAACGTTCGCTTGCACTAGCAAACCAAGTTGATCTTCCCGTTGGGGATGGAGTTTACGCGCAAAGCGCGTGGTCGGAAAACGCATGGCACCCAATGTATTGACCGCAAATGGTCATCCCTGAAGAAGTTTATCCCGAAAGAGTTGGCATCCAAGCGATCCAATGGCGGGTAGAATGCACAGATCCAAGAATATATGTATAGCTTTTGCGTGGCGCTGTAATGCACCGTCTAAGCACCAACTGCAGACGTTGGGTCAGATGGCACAGGAGGAGTGGAACGCGTGAAAAGGAGTGGCATGCCTGAGGGAGTGGAAGTGTGTTAAGGTATCATGAAAAAAAGAGAAGCGAAGAAGCGATTAAAGATCCGGTCTTTTTACTTCCGGGCACAGTCATTTCACAATGGAGTTACGATTTGAGAGGCGTTTTGTGGTGTAAAAACACATTCAAAGTGACATGGACCTAAAAAAGGCATCGCCATAAAGTGCCAGAGGGGTTGTGAAAAACGACTCGAAGATGCATGTGAGAACGCGCAAATCGCGCGGGGCCGTTGCAGCGGGCGTGACCTTGTTTTTCCTCAGCCTTTCTTGGAACGTAGTTTTCGAAAAACTACCTTAAATTACAAAGTGTGTTCACTATAACTACAGTAAACTTAGTCAAGTCCATGCACTGAGGTGAGGAGTAGTCGTGGAGAAATGATGACGACCAATGAAGACCAGGGAGGGAAATAGCAATAGGAAGACTTACCTGACTACCTAGAATTCCTGAAAGTGCAGTTTGCAAATTCATGTTAATTTGCGAGTATGTTCGACTCAAATCTATCTTGTGGGACTGTGTTCTTGATTTGTTCGGGACTAGGGATATACTTGTTTGACATGCTTTGTCGCTTTCAGTTTCGGATTGAAACAACGCACTGAATGGCAGCAGTCTTGAATCCGCGACACCGAGGAAACTCAATGAAGGTCGTTCTCGACTGAAGCGTGGCATCATCTTCGCAGCCTCGCTGTACTTGTAGCGTGGACAAAAAGGGAACCTGAAATGCTGAGTTAGAGATAGCAAACATTTTTTGTTCAACAGATGCACCTTTAACGCCTTGTTACTAGTATTTTCTTGCTACTAGTAGCGATGCACTTGTCACTAGTAGTTTCTCTTGTTACTAGTAGTTTTCATTTCCACAATACATGAAGAAATTACAAGATGCTGCGAGCCACGAGCTTGTTTGATACCCCAGCTACTTGCAGGCCTCTGCTTCAGGGTGCCCCACTTCTGTCGTCAATGGGTTCAAAACCAAGTCGCTTTCTTTCACAGGGAAACACTTCGCAGTGACAAGCGGAGATGGTTCCACCTGACTCCCACTGACTGGTACTTGAGGTCAATGCCAGGTAGATACGACCACTCTGCCGTGGAAAAGGACCTGTATGGCAGAAGTCTAAGTTTGCCGATGAAATCGAATCGTATCCTTTGGAGCAAAGCTAAAGCCTGCAAAATGCTTCGAGATAACTTCGTGTTGTGGGGATCGAAGGTTGGTGGGAATCTGCTGGTTTCTTCCGACCAGAAGTTGCAGAGAAGGCCTGGGTTGATGTAACTTGTTTGACACGTTTGACAGTTTGTTCAATTAGTTGAGAGCAAACACCCACAATCAAACACATGCTATTTCGTCATCTTTCGTCATGTGTCTCATCTTTCTTGGACCTTTCTTGAGATCTTAACTAATAGCTTCTTGTTACTACTAGTAAGGCACTTGTTACTACTAGCGAGGCACTTGTTACTAGTAGTAACAATGTTTGATGCCTTTCTGTTTCCGGTTTGTTGAATGATTCAGGTCCCCTCCGAGTCAGAGAAGAAGGAGTCCTATGTAGTACCCATGCCACCGCCCAATGTGACTGGCAGGCGCTACCATGAGCGAAGAACGTTCAAACGGTTTGTTGTTCATAGATGTGTATTCTTTAATTTTGATCCTTTCATGCTAACAGTTTCTTTTTGAACCCTTTTCCAGTGAACGCTCGAAACCGATTCTATCTTTCTTTAGCCGCTATCAGCAAATCGTTTCGATTCTGGACGCATTCCATGTCCATCCCGGTCCCTCCCTATCCTCCCTATCCTCGTCTTGGACAGGCTTCACATGGGTCTCTCGGCTGCAAACCAACGAATTCCTTTTTTCCATGCGCGTCGGTCGATGGCGCAAGGTCATGCCATGTTCGTGAGCTTGGAGGATGTGTTTGGCTCGGTTGAACACGTGATTTTCAATCATGTAATTTATAAACGATATTCCTCAGGTCCTCACACGTTTTCATCGAATGCGTGGCGATCAAACTCTTTGGTTACCAGGCGCCGGCTCTTTGAAGAGCCGAGAGTCGGTTCTTAGCAGACTCACTATTTTGGCATGTTTAGGCACCGATCATGCCGGCATTGCGACGCAGATGCTGGTGGTGCGTACCTGATTCAAACGCTTCAATCATGAGAACGAGGAAGTTTCTGAGGCTAAAGTCGTTCCCCAGCTGGTTGTTCGGAGTATACAGTTTCACCATTTTTGTTTCGTTACATCATGTTCCATCTACTCGGCATCTTCTCAAGGAAAGACAGCTGGCCGCAGAGGGCACCTCGTCGGAGCCTTGAACAAATCGGGATCGAGGATCGGATACTAGAATCTTCTTTTTGCTATGTGATCTATGTGATTACTTGGATGGATGGGCCTGATGGATCCAGTGGATTGAAACGTTTTGAAACCCTTTTTTTGTCCTTTTTAGGCGCCAGGAAGTGGGCAGGGAGGAATTCCTGAGACGCGTCCGGCCCTGAACAAGACTTGCTTCTTCCGAGTCAGACACGGATCTGCAACTGTCAATTCACCTTTTAGATTGGCTGATCCGAAGGTATGGGAATGGAAGGAGGAGAAAGGCGGTGCCATCGTGAGATCCCTGGCATCCATTGGCATCCTGCTAGTAGTCCTGCTAGTTAGCACTTGCAATATTGTGTCAGTTGGTCCTGGAAAACCTCATGAAAAAGATGTGACGAAGTCATTTGCGTTGTATACACTGTTCGCATCGAAGGAGCTCTAATTTAGACCACAAAAATAGCGATGTGCCCTTTTAATGATAAGGCCCTCTTGAAGCCCCAAACGCCTGTTGTCCACTGTTGTCAACTCATGTCTTGTCCACCCTGCCGTTCGCTTCGTTTTCAGGTCGATCAGATGCGATGCTTGGGTGCCTCAGCCGACTGGTCCAGAGAGCTCCTCGGCCACACTGATCGACCGCGGAGTAGCTTAGGATAGCTTAGGTGTATATAGTCGTTCCAGTAGCAAGAAAGCTCCTACTAGTTACATTTAGTTACTGGACTCGGATTTTTCGTGAAACATGACATACCGAGACTCCGAGACGTGCCATCGAGCCTGTATACGTGGAGATCGAGATTTATGGGTGGATGAATGTGGACAGGGAGAAGATAAGCACCAGAGGCAGTTTACGCTGATGCGCCGAGCACACGACTTCAGGCAGTTTACGCTGAATGATCACATGAGCGGCGCAGCAAGGACCTGAGGACGACTATCGACGGCAAGGGAATCAACTGATATCGACGGAATGCGCAGAATTCGGAAACGCATCAGAGAGCATGAGTCGAGTCGTTATGCGTTGAAGAGCTGTTTGCATGACTCAGGTGGTTGAGGCGTTTTGCCGGTTGCATGAGCTGGGAACCTCATATATGCTTGTGGGGATGCGGGCTTGTCGCGTTGCTGAATATGCATTTGCTCTTTGGCGGTTTCAGAGCTCGAAACACTCTATGCTCTCCGTCAGGATGGGTGCCATTTTCCGTGGTCAACGCATGGTGAACTGGAGCCCAGTCTTGCAGACTGCGGTCAGCGACCTCGAGGTGCTGTCAAGTTTGTGAATGAATTTTCAAACCGTGTTTGAACAAAGGGATGCTCTTTTTTGTTTTTAATATCATAAAATCAATCATTCACATTTTAAGTACTTTCCTTTTTTCTCCCTTTTTAGACACATTGCTTCCTATTTACAAAAACATTGTTATTCTTTTTGGATCAAGCTAAAGTCCCAAGGCAGCGATGTTCTGCCCTTTTGCCTTCAGGTGGAGTACTCTGACGCTCAAGGACACTTGTATTATTTCAAGCCACGATCTGAGCTGACCTCGTTGCTTGTGCCGTGTGCTCCTCGATGTTCAATTGAGGTATGTCGTAGCTGATTCAGATGGCGCGGAAGAGGAGACTCTGAGGGCAACACTCCGAGCTACTAGGAGCAAGGACGCTACCAGGGGCTTGCAACACTCTGAGCGTCAGGAATTCATCCCGGTTGCCACAACGCGACCAGAGACGATCCTAGGGGATTCTGCGGTATGTGTACATCCGGAGGCGCCGTGGACGGAGCATTGAGCAAACTTGGGCTGTGCCGCTCTGCCCTCCCTACTCGCGATGACCTCCAACCTAATAGCCATGGCCTCCAGCGAACCGAGTGTTTGACAAACCCAAAGATCTGACGGCAATTGAAGGCCAAAGATAGTGATTTGTTAAGAACTGACAGGATCCTCGGTATCAGCACCTCATCGGCCGAGATGTCCTTGTTCCAGTTCAAGGTGGGTTGCTATACACAGCGCATGCCGTGGCTTCAGCACCTTCCAGTACACAAGGTCGCGCTTGTTGAGAATGGATTAAAATCACAATGAGGTTGGAGGCCATTGCTATTAGGAGCAAGGGTCTACTAGTAGCTCCTCGCATCGCTACTAGTAATAAGAAGCTGCTAGGAACAAAGGGCACCGCTACTAGGAGCAAGGACGCTACGTTCGGGGCTCCTGGCCATCGCTTCTTCCGTTTAATTTGGCTCTGGAGGGCGCCGTATTCCGGTCATTGCCGATGCTTATGTCGACCGGGAGTCTGACACCTGGTTTCTGACTTCCGTGAGTCGTGTAGAGTTTGCTTGACTTTTTGCTTGACTGTAGAGGTTTGGAACCGGTGCATTGAAGATCACACCCTCTCATGACTTCAACGACTTTGAGATTGGTCAAAGACACGGCCTTGAGAACTATACGGTGCGCAATTGCTGTCACAGAGTTGCGTTGCTTGAGCCACTCTGAATCATATTCATATTGGAAGGATATAGGTAGGTGACATGGAGAAGATAAGAGCAAGCTTAATTGCTGCGAGCTTGATTGCTGTTTTTACTGTCCCTTAAGAGTTTTTGGAGGTCATTGGGTTGGATGGATCTATGGCAAACACCTTGGAAGCCTTAGGCCAGACGCCTTGCACGTGGATGGATCCCATCAACTTTGCCCAAAGATATCCAAAAGATCAATTTGGGACCTTGGGAAGGTTCGCCCGAATACGTGGGCCTTGACCGAGCCGTGTGTTTGAAGCTCAAAGGGCCTGAGGGGTTTTGAACGTGTCGACGTGTTGTCCTCGTATTCCGAGGCCGGAAGAAGCTTTGGACGGATTTGGAGGAAGCTGGACTTGCTCTGAAGGTGGAGGAGAAGCTGCTTGGGTTTGTGTGGGCTTGATTGACATGGCCAAGTCTGACCCAAGTCATGCGACTTTGCGTTCGGGAGGACCACATGCAGCGTGTTCCACTCTCTCAAAGGCCTGGAAGACATGTGCGACAAAGGAATACGGGCTCTTCAGAGCTCCTGATGGCTCTAGATTTTCACAGCACAATCGAATGCGATTCGCTCTTTACACTGCTGTGATATGCAGTTCCTGAGATTTTTGCTCATCACGTATCCAGGAGTGGTGAGGTCATTGAGCCAATGCTGTCGGACCAGTGGTTTGTCTCTACAGAGGCAGCGAATGGTTTGTAGAACGTGCGAAAGGGTCTAAAGACCAAAAAGGAAAGGACCAACCGATGGTTTGGATGTGAAAAACGCTGTTTCGGCTGCGAGGTCATGGCACAACGCGCCCTGGACGCAGTTGAGCCGGTGGCCAAGAGTTGTTGCGGTTTGTTCCGTCCATGACTCCTTGCCTTCCGATTGCAGCCGCACTTGAATGAGGTCTGGTGACATCAACATTCAACCCGATCGCTTCGTAAAGACTGATGGGATTTACAATACATGTTTTCACTTGGACGATTCTTGTCATCATTTGTTATCCCTTTCATCATTTTTTATACCCTTTGCAGGACTTGGCAAGACTGGTTGAAGGAGAAGCAGCCTTGGTGCATCTCCAGGCAACTCTGGTGGGGTCACCGCATTCCAGTGCCTGCGACTTAGAGAAAGCGATGCCCTGCGGCAAGCACCTGGTGAGGGGTACCGCTTTCTGAGTACAGGAAGAAAGACAGAGAAAGGAATATTCTAAATGTGGAACAGTCAGTCCAAAGGCCGAATGAGAAAAAAACAACTGGACATGTTTAAAAGTGTTCTTGTTTACAGTCAGAGGCCAATAAAAGCCAAGCAAGACCCTGCCGTTGTTCAAAGAAGGCCTCTTTTGGTCCTGGTACGGTAAGACGGGCCTCACGACTGGTCTTACCCCTGAGCCTGAGACAGAGGCCTTACCCTTTCTGGGTTTGATCAATCAGCGAGGTTTTATCCGACCAATCGTGGAAGCAGCGACAAGTACTTTGTGGCACGCTCAGCCGAGGAGGCGAGCACCACTTCTACTCAACAGAGTGACAAGATAATATACAGTATACTATATGATAGATGTGATATGTCCTTTTACATTCCTTGAGAATCCTTGAGACTACTATTTGACCACCAGTTTCACAAACTGTTCCTTGTAACTGTGAACCTCAAAACATAGTTACATATACGGCAGGCTACTGATGCATTTTGGTCTCAACTGCAGCTGGTGAGGTTCCCTGCAAGCGTCATGACATGTTGACAGCATAATGCAAGAAAACATCTCTTGGAGGAAATCATTAAAGAACACTAATTCATTTTCGCCAGCAATAGATCACCAGTGCTTGATGCTTGCCCCAGATTGAGAGATTGTCAATCATTATGATGTAAAGAGAACTTCTACCGAGTGCAATGGCACGACTGCAATGGCTTTTGCTTGGAAGCTTGTGTTTCCTTCTCTATGAAGGCCCGACCCTCACAGTTGATTGATTGAACAACTTTGCACCGCACTATGCAACATGGGCAACGCGTGATGCTGCAACTTCAGGAGCAGAGTGGACTGCTTTCATGTTTCCAAGCAGAGAGACAAGGCCAGGTAGCATGTTCTTCACACAGAGAAGCGTTGAGATGAGACAGACAGCGGTGTGCGGCAGTGTGTGCTGTGCATGCGGGGTTTCGTGTTCAGTTTTTTAGGCCGCGCAGTTCTCAGCACCGAGTTGAAGGCCACCAGTCCTGGGATCGGAAAGGCCACAAATGTTGTGGTTTTGCCACGTTGATTGAAAGCTGCACTGTTCATGTTCCCGTCCAGGCAAAGCAGTCTCAGTTGGCCATTCACCTGCCCTTTACAAAGACTTCCAATCTCCATATCCAACTCTCCCCCCTTGGCGATGGTGGCCACTCCCGTTTGGGACACTTCCGACATGTTGTTTCCGTGCCTAGAGCTTAGGCGGCAGTTGGCAATTTTGGCCTGTACAGACAGATGCTGCGAATAGAATCAGGACGATTGTGCTTTAGATGTGATGTAGGGTATCGCCTTCCACCTTGAACGTTTATCGAATATCCACTGCATGACTGGGTTCAGACTTGACAAACTTGGTCATGGACTGTCATAGAACTACACCAAATGCATGCAAGATCATGTAAGATATGCAAGTGCAAATTGCAAATGCGTGTAAATGCAAGTGTAAGCAGGAAGAACACCGAAGAACAGTTAACACCGAAGAACAGTTAAGCTATGTTGTGTTTTCTGGTTAACAAAAACAAAAGCAGCGCAGATTCAGGGTGCCTTACTGTAACCAAATCGGCGCTTCTCCCCAGTGAGAAGTCTGCAGGGCCTGACACGGTCTCAAACAGATTCCCCAATAGATCTGAAAAGACGGCTCAGAAACGCTCAAACAGACTTTGGTGTTTGTGACTGTGATTTGTTGGACACCCAAGCGACGCTTCTTCGGCCTTTTTGCCACAGGCGATGTGAAGCTCGATGCTCTTCAGAGCGGAGTTCCTGATGCAGCGCCCCAGTGGGGCCGCTTGTGAGAGCCTGAGCTTGATGGCAGCGTTCCAGAGGGTCAAAACGTAAAGTGTGGTCGGCTCGTGTGCTTGATGTTGCAAGACAGAGTTGAGACAAGAGTGTCCAGTCGAGGCTACGTCCCCCTAATATCGGGTTTCTTCAAGTTTCTTCACTCAAACGATATTTTTACTGCAAGTCGCGAGTCGTGTTGCTGCAAAACAGATGCATGCACGGCTATAGTTCTCCTTCTGAGATGACTTTGAAGTCTCTTGTTGATCTCTCAATAATTGAGGTGGCCAGTTGTTGTTGCTGGGCTTCTTCTGTTTACGCGACTCGGCTAGAACCATCTAGAACCTGAATTGCATTGAATTTCTTATTCACATCTTCAGTACAAAACTTGCGAGGACAGTTCTCAGACCGCTTTCTGCGGAAGCTATACCGCTGGAGATGCTCAAGCGTTTGGAGCAAGAGCAAGCCCGTGCAGAGGCCAAAGGTCCGAGGTGCCTTGGAGCAGCTCCTGCCGGTGTGATCCGGTATGTGTTGTGTTCGCTAGTAGGGTGGAGGCCGCTAGTAACAAGGGCATCGCTACTAGTAACAAGGGCATTACTAGTAGCAGTAACAAGGGCATCGCTAGTAGGTTGGAGGCCATTGTTCAGTGGAAGAGTGTCATGTTTGCTTCACGTGATGAGGCAGCGCACGGAGGCGCCTCCTGTGCTGATGCGCTCTGACCCGGCGACCGTCAGCCTGGCTGAACGTTTGCGGGAAGGCCCGCAAACCGACATACTAGCAGCGTGGCACTTGTTTCTACTAGCTTCTTGTTACTACTAGTAAGGCACCTGTTACTACTAGCGTGGCACTTGTTTCTACTAGCGATGACACACATGAGATGTGTAAAGATCAGAACAAGCCTAGTCTGTCAGTCCAACTCTTCCCTGCCTGTCCACTTGTTTTGTGCTGTACAAGAGTAGATGACATGCAATGACAAGTTCCCTGCGGATGCACCAAGCAGGTGGTGCGACATTTTATGGAACTTTTTGGTGCCCCGCGTGTGATACGCAACGACAGCTTTTTGGCGTCCCAGCCTGGCAAAGTGCACCTTGGTTTTGAAACACTTCAAGAGCGTCGAACAACATCCATTGATATTGGAACGTGTTTTTCTTTAAATACAAACAAATGCATATTTCTAGAGACTTCCGCCCGCACTTTGAATTCTTCCATCAGGTTCCTTATGTCGAGTGCGATGCGCGTGTGGAACTCGGCATCGAACTATGTAGCTATTGATAACTATAGGCCCTATAGGCTATATATAATTACACAAACTGAAATCCAGAGTCGAGTTGCAGTAACAAGGAATGCAAAGAGGACTCAGAAGGCAATCTTTGTGAAAACACTGAACTCGATTCGCTTGCAGGGAACTCGCAAGCCGAGCCTCAGAAGTGCCCTGTTTCAATCAAGCAAGTTTTATTGTTACTAGAAGCGATGCACTTGTTCCTAGTAGCTTCTTGTTACTACTAGTAAGGCACTTGTTACTAGAAGCGATAAATATGTCAAGACGATTGGACACGGACTAAGGACGCTACTAACTATAGGAACAAAGGGCATCGCTACTAGGAACAAGAAGCGTCCTTCCCTTAGGAACCCCTAGTAGCGTCTTTGCTCCTAGTAGCGATGCCCTTTGCTCCTAGTAGCTTCTTGTTCCTAATAGTAACGCCAGGAGCCCCTAGTAGCGTCTTTGCTCCTAAGTATGCCAAAGTTCTTTGTAAATTATTTTGCTCGATTGGAACTGTGCTAAGGTGCTTTGAGGCGGGCGTTGATGCAATTCCTTTCTGGACCTTCGCAGATGGAAGTACTCATGCTGGTGTCCTCAGTGTCTCTGTGCCTTGGATAGAGAAGCTGAAGCAAGCTGCATTGAGCTGCACGGAACCTCTCAAAGTCGAATCCGAGGACTTGGAGTCCCGTGTGAGTCCTCAAAGTGGAGAGAAGCGCCACCTGTCCGATCTGGGAACTCCAAATTGTAGAAGCACTTCACAGCATGTTTTCTTGGTCAAGTAAACATGTTAAATGACCTGCCATGTTGAGCGCTTTGAAAGAGGGCGAACCCCACACTTGCTCTACACTCTACACCTTTTTTTTTTTTAGAAAGAGCTGCTGCATCCAAGTCGTGAGGCCCAGCCACGAGTGTCCAGCTGCCCATGCCATCTGATTGCAAAGATTGCAAACTGGATGGGAAGAGTGAGAAAGGTGAAAAGAACAAGTAGCTTTTGAGTAGATAGTAGATAGCAGACTCACGGCAATTGTGATGGAAACCGTTCAGCTGTTTGTGTTGTCTTATGTTGTTTTTGCATTGGTCACGTCTCCATTTGGCTTTGCACACCGCAGCACTGCATGTGTGCTACTTGTTGTTGTAAAGCATCGACAGATGTTCAACATTGTTCAACGGTTGCTACTAGTAGTAATGCCCGTGTTACTAGTAGCGTCCTCGCTACTAGTAGCGATGCACCGTGTTACTAGTAGCGTGTTGAAGCTGGAGCCCAAAGAGGCTGCGGTCGGATGCCAGTATCTTTGAGAAGCTTTGAGCCTGTCGCCAGAGCCGTCCGGGGAGAAATACTGGACGATATCTAGAAAAGAATAGAAAGACGGTTTGGTTTGCAGAAATACAATTTTCAGCCCAAGCTCACATGATTGACACATCCATCAGCAACAGAATCATGGCAGAGAGTCTTGCACAGGCACTGGAAGCTGCCCGGAAAGAACTGGGCGAGGCCGCGTTGGGAACTTGAAACGATCCTGTCTATCAGGTCTCCTCCCTGCACCGGGCTGATTAATTAGCAGTAAGCAGTCAACCTTGCAGGACGTGGAGTTAAAGCAAGACGAGGATGTGTTGGACACTTGGTTCTCGTGCTGGGCCTAGATCAGTTGCGACCATGGAGCACTCGTTATTGGCTTTGGCCACGGCTCAGATGCTGTGATACCACTTGCCTCATACTGTCTGATCAAAGTTCATGAGCAAGCGATCAAGAGCCAGTGTGTGCACTGCCATCACTCTACGTCTTTTTGGTGGATATCAGTTGGGAATCGGATCAGTATTGTCAAGGTCAGGACTGTGGCCCTTTGCTACCGTGGGATGGCCAAGCGAAGACTCAGAGGACTACAAGAAATACTATCCAGCTCACTTCTCAGTGCAATGCCTTACATTGCTGTCTGAGTTGCTCTGTGCATGTCCAATACCAATGCTTGAGTTCTGAAAGGCCACCATGATGGAGACCGGTTATGTGCATCCGACCAGCTTGTGAGCGCAAATATCTCCTCTAGATGCAGACAGTTGTAGTTTACACATGTCACAATCGAGTTGCACTTGGCCAGGATATTTTGTTCTTTTGGGTTGCTCGCATGGTCATGATGGGGCTGACTCTAACTGACAAGGTTCGCATTCAAGCTGTGGCAAGCTCTCGCTAGTAGGTTGGGGGCCATTGCTACTAGGGTGGAGGCCATCGCTATTAGGTTTCTTGTCTTTTCTTTTTATTAGGTTTCTTTTGTTCCCACTTTTGGCATGAAAGTTGCCTTTGAAGTCTTGAAGGCACCCTTCAAGGAGATCTACTTGCATGGCCTTGTGAGAGATGAGAAGGGCCAGAAGATGAGCAAAACCAAAGGCCTGTTGAATCATACGGAACAGAACATAAACGAGGAAACGCTATGAAAAAAGGAAGGCCTTAATTTGGCCCCTTTAAAGGGACTGACCCTACGCTTTCTATGGTGTGTAGATCCGTATACGCCCCGATTGGGCTAGAGCTTTCTATGGCATACTCTCTTTGGCTGGAGTTTTCTATCATTGCATGCCCAAACTGGCCTTAGAGCTGGCTAGAGCTTTCTTTAGAGTGCAGATCAATACCTGCCCGGATCAAGCTAGCGTTTTCTACAATGTCTTAGCACTCGCTATGCCACAACAATATGACAACAAAAACATACGGACCCGAGGGTAAAAAGGCCTAACCTAAATATTTTATCCTACCCTATGCCCGGAGCCGGGTCGGCGGATTTCAAGGGTTCTTTGGCAGAAGCCATCGCAAATTGTGGGGTATTGTTGAAAGCCACGGCCTCCGAGTTTATTAGACTCCGCAGTTCTCCCATCGAAGCAACTTTTGTGAATCAACGCCTACGCAACATATTTTTTTCAAAAAGCTTCCAAGTTTCAGACATGCCCGTGTATCAAGCAAAAGCACCAAGGATGAAACACGGAGGCAGACACATGTTTCACAACAAGAGCACATGAGAGCACAGATCAAGACGAACGTGATCCTCTAAAAGGCCAAAGTCCTCAAAAAGCTTCTAGACGGCGAAGGAATGCCGCGCCTCCACGCCTTGTTTAGGTGGCAATATTTTTTGCGGATGGCGCCTTGGTGCGCAGATTGTTCTAGGAGTTCGCGCCTGATGTGTGGACGACCGTTGCCTGCAGTATTCATTTTCAATACAGAGGGCATTGTGCGCCGGGGTGTCAAGTCTGATTCACAATGAACAATTGCCCACAATTCGGAGACAGTTGCTGTTGAGGAGGCGAAAGTCCTCAGGGGGCGTCAGGGTGGCTACGGCGTGCCGCGTTTGCACGCCTTGAAGAACTTGGTGCTGGAGTTGCTGGGGCCATCGCTGACGGCGCTCAAAGACGAAGTGGATCCGCTCACCGTCAGCCCGCAGATGGTTGAGCCTTGGAACGACGCACGCTGCGTGCGTGCAACCGAACCCGTGTGATCGCAGGCCTACATGGAGAGGATGTTCGACTACTACCACCGCTTAGGCTAGGCAGCCCCTTTGAGGTGGTAGCAAAGTATGCATCGACTTTAAAGTCGATGCCCTCCTGGGTCCCCCGAGGCACCGAGCGGGAACAGCTCCCGCATGTCTGGATCGACGCGCACCTCAAGAAGGACAAATAAGTGAAACCTGGAAACGCGCGCGTGGCGTCGGGCAGGCAAGGATCCTGCAGAGCACAGGAGGTGCACCATTTTTCGAGAAACGTGAAACATGTCTAAGCATGACATTCGGAGATAGACAGTTAGTTACTTTAAATTGCAATGTTAGAGAGATGGATAGATAGATAATAGATATAGGTAGATAGATAGACAGATAGATACACAGAATGACAGATAGACAGATAGAAGCTTTAGATATGTAGATTGACCGATAGATAGACAGATGGATTAAGCTAGATATATAGATAGACCAATAGATAGACGGAGGATAGATAGATGGATTGATAGATTGATAGATAGGTAGGTAGATAGACAGATAGATAGATAGGTGGGTGGATGGATGGATGGATGGAGGGATAGATAGTAGGTAGATAGAAAGAGAGAAAGAAATAGATGCATGGACAAGTGGAGAGATAGGGAATCTGTAGCGCGGCCAAAAATTTGAAACTAAGCCGGCGGGGGCTTGAGACAGGTAGACAAATAGACATTAGAGAAAGGAGCCGACTTGGATTCAGTGACATCCGGTATCTAAATAAAGCGCCGCAACATATCCGGGGCGCGCCGGTCGAAAGAAGAAGCTCTCCGGCTGCGCAGCCCTTGCCTACATGGCGCAAAGGGAATTCGGCTGAGCCTTCAGCCGCGAAGGCGTGGAAACTGTGTTTGGCAGGCCGCGCCGCGGCAGCGACGGCCACGGCAGGCTTGGAATACTCTCGCGCCAGCAAGGGCGATGTGAAGAAGCTGAAAGAAGCTGAAGGTCAGGCGTCCCCGCAGCGGCGGCAGTCAAGGTTCCTTGCAGACACCGCCGCGCGCCAACGGAGACCAGCGCCGCGCCGCGAGACAGGCGCACGGAAGTGCCCGTGCTGGTGCTGACGGTGGTGCTGGATCGGCCTCCACAAGCGCATTCTGCCATTGATAGCAGCGGCGCCCCTGCAGCGGCACCAGCGCCCAAGCTCCAAAGCATACGCGAGCACCTCTTCCTTGAAGTAGGAACCCCAATGGCTCTCGCTATGTGGGGACAAACTAGATCACTAGATGAGCATAGACGAGGCAAGCAGCAGACGGTGTACAGTCGACAAGTCGCGCGATGTTGAGATCTGAAATGTTTGGAACAGGGGGTTGACGAATCAGAATGATTCATGTCTCAACATATCAGCACCATTTCAGAGCAGAAAAGTGATCCCCACTGCTTTTGCTTGGAAATTTTTGCATCAAGCTTGCAAGTTGTCGGAAAGGTTGTGGAAGTTTGTCGGGATACCTTTGTTGTCACTATAGAGCCACAGTATTTTTTGATTGTTAGGTTTTCATCTCGGAGATGGCAGTTGTGAATTTTAAGTCAACGCAATTTCCCGTATAGTTCTCATGAGGTGATTCCTGACTAAGGGTGTTACATTTTATAGTGTGGTCGTTTTGCAAGGAATCAGATTTTATAAGGATTTATGTGTCCCGAAACTAAGGGGCACCGTTCTATGCTTTGGTATAAAATGTTCAACTAAGATTCCTACAAAAGTCAACGGAAATCAAAAACAATCATTTGCATAATATTTTGCCAAATAGTCCAATTAAGAACATGTTTATAAAACATGCCATTACAATCATCGACTCACTGACCAGTATATGTTTTCACTGTTATTTTTTTGCATGAAGTGATGAGAGTGATGAGAGCGACGAGAGTGAGGCAATGTGGTGGATCCTTTGGACTCGATTGCCGAATATGGCACCGATGCGCTCAGATACGCATTGCTGACGAGCAGTGCCGGTGTCTGAGGGTTTCTTCCTTTTGGGGGTCGAAACTGAGGGCCTTCTTGAGAAGCAGAAAACACATAGAACAAAAATAGAAAAGGACGCATTGAATTTTGGACTGCAAATTTCTTTCGATAAGGTGCCAGGAATGGATGTGCCGATCAGCAAGGGCATGTTGGAGAATGCCAAGGTGAACCCAACGAATGCCTTCAGGGCCTTAGAGAGACTTTCATCTCATTCTTCCAAACCTGAAAAAGGTTGCTAGTAGGTTGGAGGCCGCTAGTAGGGCGGAGGGGGGCACGCCTGTGAGGCTTTTGCGAACAAGATCTGGAATGTTGGACGCTTCATCATTACTGAGTACGAGAAGAATGCTGGCGTAGTGCCAATTGTGTGTTTCTCAGCCTCCGTGCGGTCGAGACTGATCCGTTCGCAACAGTGTACGTTGTATTTTATGCCTTTGGGACCCCTTTCAGACAACACGGATTTTGTTTTCTTCTACAAAAGCTCGCCAGAGATTGCGAGCGCCTGCACTGCACCAAGTCCTTTCAGAGCGGCATGACATTTACAGAGGAGGAGATCAAAGCCATGTAGAGTCCTCAGCAAGTTCTCCGACGAGAATGTTCAGGATTTTAAGAAAAGGAAGTTTCCTTCAAGAAACCATAGTAACAAGAGACGCTAGTAGTAACAAGTGCCACGCTTCTAGGAACAAGTGCCTTACTAGTAGTAACAATGTTCGCTACTAGGAGCAAAGGGCATCAGATTTTGTTTCCTTATTCTAGCCCGGGGGGGGGGGGGCCGTAAGAGGCCGCAAGAGGTAGCTGGTAGCTTAAGGAAGCTACTACCGGCAGGACGCAGCATAGCTCACGCTTCCTGGAAGAAGCGCTCGCACTAATGATTTAGTTTCTAGATTTTTAGGGAAACTTACGTTGCATGTTTGCAAGGCTTTGGGTTTTCAATCAGTACTTGCATCATATCTTCTCAAGTTGTTCATTCGTCATTCGACCCCAAGGCCTTGGCTTGAGCGTGCGCTACTCTCAAAGCTTTGGAGCTCAGTGTCTTAAGCTGGATGGAAGTCATTCAGAAATCCAATATGTGCTCTAGGACTTTAGGCCAAGACCGGCTGTCTTTAATTGGCACTAAGGTGCCAAGGCCTTTGCAAGAATGTCACATCTGCACTGCTGGAGAACCGATTTGCTCCTCCAACCAAGGTGGGTAGTTTGCTTGGACTTGTTCCGTCTAGCAGCTGGATGTGACAGCAAGCGACCTTAACAGCTCTGAACTTGCAGGACATCAAAGAGTTTCTACAAGAAGACATAGCAGCCTGGTATGCGCACCTTGCATGTGAAGAACACACCGCGCACCTTGTTTCGTGAAAAGGAAGGCTTCCCGAGCGTTCTCGACTCCAAATCCAACGCCTTTTCTGATCCAAAAACCCTCAAGAGAACCTGCGTGTTGCCACTTCCTGGCCACTCCCTACTGTGAACACGAACCCTTGTTTGTTCCTTTACAAGAGAACCCTTCATTACCAGTTTCATTACCTTATAGCAAAAGGAACCCAATAGCAATTGCCTCCAACCTACTAGCGTTTGCCTCCAACCTAATACGCCATGCCCCCTAGTAGCTCTTGGGCCTGCCAGGTTGAAGCTTCCAAGACAAGGCTCCAAGAACACTTGGGCCTGCTTCTTGGAAATTCTCCAGTTGGACGATGTGGTACAGCAATCAGTTGCCAGCTTGTCATGGTTTGTCATGCCTGTTGTGTGGTGTGACTATGTGAGGGTGTTTGGGTCTTGTTAGCCAGCTGAGTTTGTTGTTGCTTTCGTAAACAAGCCAGGGATTCCTGAGGCCTAAGGCCAATAGAGTGATCCTTCACTGACTAGAAGACCTCTATTTTTGATGTTCAGCGGTGACCAGTGTTCCGGTTGGCAGCAATACACAGCGAACCGATTGCCTCAAGCATCCCTGTTCTTTTCCTTTGACCAAGGTGGCGATCCGAAAAGTTCCGAGGCGACTCATCCGTGTTTTTGTTGGGGAAAACATGTAATGAATGAACTGAGGCAACGGCAGCTTTTTTGTTCTTTCTTTAAGACAATTCTTTCTTTATAAAGAATATATGTTTCTTTCCTTTTCACTTCAGAGGCAGCAACCTCCCAGAAAGTGCTGTTGTACCTCTTGGAGGTGGGAGGGTCTGGGTGAGGACATGCACGTCTTGCGACGTCTTGCGCTATGTCCCCTTCTCTTCCAAGCTTGCGGGCATGAGAAATGTGTCCATATCCCCAACCCTGATCCTGACCTTTCTTGACGGAGACTATCGGACGAAAGCGAGGTTTCACTGAAGCTGCTCCACCCCTTCATGCCCTTTGTGACCGAGGACCTTCAGGGCCAACTGTCAAGAGTGAAGAAGATAAAGAAAAGAGTCAAGGTCCTAGTAGCTTCTTGTTACTAGTAGTGATGCCAGGAGCCCCTAGTAGCTTCTTGTTCCTAGGAGTAAGGCCAGGAGCCCCTAGTAGCGTCATGAAGGTGAACATCAGTGAACTATGAAAAGATTGTTTGTTACATTGCACGTTGTTGTGTCTAGGCTGTGTGGCAGCGATTGCCACGCGACGCCCCGCGCCAGACTCAAAAATGAAGTTCCAGTTGATTGAAATCACATGAACTGCCATGCCAGCCCAAAACAGCTTTGAGAATAACAAGCGCAAACAACTGTTTTTTTCTATTTTGCTTTCAAACACATTGGAGGCCATCGCTAGTAGGTTGGAGGCCATCGATGGTGCTCCAACGATGCCCAGTGTTGCCTAGAGTGAGGTCTCCAGAGTCCCTGATGATTTGCCCTTGGCAACGCGCTTAGATGTGCAAGAGGACGCTACTAGTAGCAAAGGCCATCGCTACTAGGAGCAAGGATGCTACTAGGGGCTCCTGGCATCGCTACTAGGAACAAGAAGCTGCTAGGGGCTCCTGGCCCTACTACTAGGAGCAAGGACGCTACTAGGAACAAAGGGCATCGCTACTAGGAGCAAGGACGCTACTAGCAGCCCTAGCGCTTCCTTGAGGCCTCGCATGTCATCTGCCACAGATGTCGAAGCCGAAGGCAGAAGAGACCTCCAAGATGCCCTCAAGACTTCTGGAAGTTAAAACTCCTTTGAACTAGCAAGAAGCTACTAGTAGCAAGGTGCATCCCTACTAGTAGCGATGCACTTGATTCGAAAAACGTCAAATTAGCACTCGGCCAATCTTTGCAACGTTTCCCACATCGGCGGCAGCACGGATGCAGGATGGTTCGAGAAGCTTTGTGGACTCACATCGGCCGTGCGCAATGCGCGTGCGGAGCAAGGTATCCCACCGAAGGCGGGTGACAAATGTCAACAAGTGGGTGCAACATGCACAGCAGTAGCAAAGCGCATCGCTACTTGGAGCAATGACGCTACTAGGGGCTCCTGGCCCTACTACTAGGAGCAAGGACGCTTGTAGAGCACATTGCACAACGACCCTGAGACTTGGCTGCTGGCAAAGGGAGGGTGGCCCTGCAGGAGCGCGTGGCTCTTACATTCTGGTGTGCAGATGCCAGCTTCCAGGACACCATTTGGCGCAGTTAGATCGAGCATCAAACAAACACCTCTAAGATGCTGAGGGCAGAGTTGACGGAGAGGTATTGACGCAATGGCCTTCTACCTAGAAGCGATGGCCTCTGACCTAATAGCGACGGCCTCCACCCTAGTAGCGATGGCCTCCTACCTAGAAGTATTTATGGAACTTCAGGAGGCATTGAAAGCAGAGAGCCAGCGCCTCAAGAGCATTGCTCGGTTCAGCTCACAAACAACAGCCGACGAAGCCAGCTGATGGCGACTGAGGCTCTGCACTGGCGTGGCTTGCGCGAGCTGACCCTGACAAGATCGAGGTGACTGATCCCTATCATCCAAGTTCCACAGCACTTGACCATCTCATTTGTCAGATTGCACCAGACTTTGTTGATGTTTTCGGCTTAACCATTGTTGCATAATGTTGCATCATTGGCTTTGATTATTCATAATCATTTATAGTAATGACATGTATCAATTCACGAACACAGTCAGATTCTAGAACATGTCGAACTGGGGAGGCAAGGGCCATGTCTGAACGTCCAAGCGAGATGTTTGAAGCTCAGCTCACCAGTTGGTCTTGGAGCGTATGGAGGCCATTGCTTCGAGGTTGGAGGCCATCGCTAGTAGGTTGGAGGCCATCGCTATTAGGTTGGAGGCCATCGCTATTGGGTTGGAGGCCATCGCTAGTAGGTTGGAGGCCACCGCTATTATATAGGTTGGAGGCCATCGTTAGTAGGTTGGAGGCCATCGCTATTAGGTTGGACGCCATCGCTATTAGGTTGGAGGCCATTGCTTCTAGGACGCTTGTCTTGCGATTGTTTCACCTTTATCCTTCTTTTGTTTTATGATTTGTGAGGCCTTCCGGGTGCATTCGCGTGGTCGTGTCGGAGGAGATTGAGGTAGTTATTTCATGTTATTTCTTAATCATTTGTTCAGGGCAGCGTGAGCTGAAATAGCTGAAGGATAGATCATAGATCCCTTGTCGACCTTTTCAGATGCAAAACGAATCAACGATGACATTGAAACATTGAACTTTGACAAGTCATGGATGAATTTTGAAAGGATGCTATTAGGATGCTATTAGGTGGAGGCCATCGCTCTTAGGAGCCAGGACACCACTAGGGGCTCCTGGCCTTACTACTAGGAGCAATGTTCGCTACTAGGGGCTCCTGGCATCGCTACTAGGAGCAAAGGGCATCGCTCAATCAGTTGGAGGATTCACGAAACGGGTTTCAGCGCCGACCGAGTCACAGGTGGACCTGCCGGTGCCGGAGAAAGAAATTGATGTCGAGAAGGAGCCGAAGAAATTCTCGAGTTGATGTGAGAGAATGACAATGAGGGGCAGCCGGCCTATGGAAGGAAGAAACTGACATGGAAAAGCGAAGTTGGAGTCAAAGAGAATTGGTGAGGAGCTGCAACGTTTGGAAAAGCAGCTGAACCAGGTGCATATTTTTTAGAAGAGGTGCAGCGCGTCAGTTCGAGTCCAAGCCGCTTGTCTCGTGAGGTTTCCGCTTTGCTTGAAAGCACGGAGAAGAAGATTACACCCCAATTCATGGTACGCTTCCTGTTTGTTCACCTCTTGCCTTGCTTGTATGCAGCATGGCTGTTTCCTTGGCAGGAGCGTGCAAATCCCACTGCCAAGGACCCTTTGCAGTCCTGGAAGTGGCTAAGACAAGACCTGAGAAAGCTCTGCTAACTTCTTGTCGCTTGTTGAAAGCGACAGGAAAAGATTTTGCAAAAGCGAGATGAACTGAAGCAGCAGAAGGCATGGAAGGGCGAAGGGCGAAAGACGAGAGTCACACTTTCAGCATGGTCTCGCCCGCTCCCGCACTATCGCCTCGTAGTAGTAACAAGAAGCTAGTAGTAACAAGTGCATCGCTAGTAGTAAGAGTTTTTGTTTCATCTTTGCATATTTCAAAATTTTATCACTAGTCGCCCATCCACTACGATGTTTCCTTTCACATTTTTTCACTATGATGCTGGTTCCATCCAATTTGTCCTCGTGGGCGGCCATGCAATACTTAGTCCATGCTCGAATCCCTTCATCTCACTCCTTCATCCAACAATGATGCCATCCCAGACATTTTTTATCCTTCACCACATGTTGTAGGGAGTCCTCAAACTGCTGGACATGTGACAGATAGAGACGTACTGTATTGCAGAGAGCTCTCATACAACACAAGACATTTTGTGACAGCCCGAGCTGCACATACTTCGCTCAAGAAAGCACTGAACTCACGCTGATTGAACTATGTCCAAGCAGCATGTAGATTTGGAATGCACGGCAAGTGTCGGATGACAAGAGACCATGATCAGATGCGAACAAGTTTGACCTGAATGGAAGGCATCCATTTCAGCGCAGCTTGAAGAGCTCGTCGGAGTTCCTTGTCTCAACTGATTCAAGGGATGCCAGTTCTATTGCTGCGTCAGCAGCTTGGGGTTCCATTCTCACTGCAGAGCGTACTGTCTCGAAATACAAAAATCATGTGCATGGACACTCGTCACCGATAGCTAAAGGATGCTAAAGGGAAAACATGGACCAAACCAAGCTGCCTCATGCTGTGTTCTTGATTTTTTAACAACTCTGGGGGGTAGAGGCCATCCGTAGTAGGGTGGAGGCCATTGCTAGTCGGTTTCTTTTTCTTTTTCCACAGCTTTCCGTGTTGAGGCCAAGGCATCTAGCCGTCCAGCTCCTAGAAGCGCCAAACCAGCATAAATTGAGTTCGACATAGTCATGACGCGTACAGACATCCATATGTGTCCTGTGAGTGAATAAAACAATTGATTCATGAGGTGGACGGTCTGCGTGCTTGTCTCACCGAGAACTTGCATGAACTGTACCATTTGGAGCTTGGACATGCACAATTCCAGAACCCCCAGCACTGGAAGGCATAAAACTACTCGAGCTCAAGCAAAGCTGGAGTGTAACGACCATGGGCACTGCAGCGACACCCTTCCAAATCGCTGCCGGATGCCTTTGGAGTCCTTTGCGCAAGGCCGTGACTTGGTGGCGGCGGCAGCAGCGGCCTTTCTTTTTGGCACACCGAAAGCTCGAGCTGACGTGGGAGAAGGTGAGTCGGGTGTGATCGGTCTGACATACCTCAAACATGTGCACTATTTTAATAGGCTTTAGTTATGGTCATAATATCAAACATTGCTGGGAGGCTTAAATTAATCTTGTGTGGTGTTAGCGTTGAGATTGACGTGACTGGAGTGCCTTGATGAACTCTGCAGGTGATTCACTACCCTCCGGGGCCAGACAGGAAGATCGAATCCGTAAAGGGCTGGAGGCTGGGCCCTTACCCAAGCTGAGGGGAACACGATATTTTCAACTGAAAAGATGCAATATGATGCAATCCTTTTGAAAACGTCCAGTGTCGAGAGATGGCGATATCTAAGACACACCAATACTTTCCAATACTAGTAGTCCATTTTTGAAGCAAATTCAAACCAGGCACTGAGCTCGAACAAGCTTTCAGTGCGTGTGGACCAGGCTTGGAACAAGCTACCGGAGAAGCTCACATCAGAGGAAAAAGACAAGGCGCAATTTGCAGCGAGATGTTTTTGCGAACCTAGGAGCATGCTTCGTTTTTGCGTGCTGCCAGGAGTGGGACGATGCCATTGGCTTTCTCAGGCTTCGACCAGAATTTGGCACAGCATGGCAGATGCAACAGCGCTCAAGTGCAACCAAGAGCTTTTTGATACTTTTTGCTTGAAAGGAACACTCTGAAGACACAACACTTTGCATGGCCTTCATTCGCATGTAATGTGTGTGGTTCTTCGCCAGTGCCATTCAAAAACTGAGCATACAAATTGTCGCAGGCGAATCTACGGTCTGAACGACGACATGAAATATTTGTCACGAGGTGGTTTTTCCTTTCACTTCAGAAGAAGTGCCTTACTAGTAGTAACAAGAAGCTACTAGGAACAAGTGCATCGCTACTAGGAACAAGTGCCTTACTAGTAGTAACAAGAAGAGCAACCATTTACGAAGAGATCGATGAATGATTGAACATCAGAATATCATTGAATGCTTCGGGGTGATTGGACAAATAGCGATGGCGGCAGGATTTAAGAACGAGAAGAAGCAGGAGGCAGAGTGCAATGTGAGACTTGAGCCTTCGCAGTTTTGAGTGACAGGGTCACACTCTTGCACAATCCTTCAGGTACAGGATCTGATTGAGAACTTCAGAAAGAAGGTCAAAGCATCCGACAAACCGGTGAAGGCCAAGGCAGAGTCGTACAGAACAGAGACATCCAGAGACCTGGAATTTATGATATCCGCGGAGAAACCTACGTGATACGCTTGCGTGCAGTGCTCGGTGCGTTTTCAGTTGCCTTAACATAACCAACAATTAAGAGAGAGTGTCACAGAGCGAGAGAGAGAGAGAGAGAGAGACAGAGGAGAGAGACACAGCGACACAGGGGCCAATGGGGATGTAAGCAGTCGGAAGAGAAATCCGGACAGGTCAAATCTGATTCGCCAGGATTATGATGCCTTCATGGTGCTTCACAAGGAAGTGGCCGGCTACTTGAAAGAGCCGGGGCCTTGAAACATGGAAGTCGGAAGCGCAAAGCAGCGAAACATCTATATAGTTCTCTAAAAGTCTAAGAACAAGATCATTACTGCAAGCGCTATCCTGTGTCCAGTAGGTATATATAGAAGCTTAAGTATTGCTAGTAGCGAACAAGTTGTCTCTTCTTGATAAAGTAATCGCCTACTGGAGCGGGCCAAAAAGAAGCGTTTGCTTTCCGTACAGTCTGATTCATGCCATCCCCGTTTGTGCCACTGAGGTTCCAGACGTACCTCCTAGATGCAACGGAAGCATGGGCCTCAGAATGAAAGTACCAGCTTCAGGGCTTCAGTTCATTCGTGATTTTGTTCAAGACTCTCAAAGTTACCTACATGGACTTTTTTTACGGCCTCCAAGTGCTAATCCTTGCGCGGTGATATAACTAATTTGTTTGAATTCCAGCAGTCGAACACTGCAGACATGCAGAATGGATCGAACGAGTTGTTTCATACTTGACGCTCAGGATCTTGCCACAGATGGGGACTTCGAAGACATCTCCTGAGCTTTCAGACTCCTTTTTCGGTGCTGGTGGCGCCACAGTGAGGTGAAAGAGAACCTGAACATTCCAAAACAAAGCAACACGAATCTTATTGTTCGTAAGAGGTTATCACACTGACGAGAAACTTCAACTCATTCATCTGAACTCTTTTGCCCCTTCATCCAATTGATTGTTTTCGCAATAGTCAGCAGGCCCACCTGGCTTGCTCTTGGCTGCAAATAAAATATAGCATATTATAAGGATTTGTGTACCTTGAATTATGTGCTCCATTTGTTGGTATCCAAGAGCCATGCAGTGTGTGCCGAGTTTTCTGCGATTCGCATTGAACAGTGCTGCCATTGTTTAACGTTCTTCCCTGTGTATGGTTCGAGGCGCAGTTTCTCTGTTGCCATGGAGTTGCTTTTAGCTGCAGCTGCTGGCTTCTGGGCTGCTCCGCTGTAGCGGTTGTGCTTGTCGCCTCGCATTTACGGCTCACAGGCTTCACATCTTAACAGCGAGCTGCACGAGATGCCGCACTTTCGTGGATCAAAAGAAGCCCATAGGTTGTAGGTGTGGACACAGAGCCATTGCGGTTTCAACTCGGACACAGAGCTTTCAACTCCCTGTCAAAAGCCTTCCAAGGCCGGTCTTGGCTCTGGAAACATTTTAAGAATCACGTTGTTCGCGAAGAATGCTTCCGCAATATGTTAGGAACAACAAGAGATCGCCTTGTGGGGACATGAATGGCAAGAGACATGCTCCAAGAAGCTACGCAGCCAGACAAGTTACAACATCGCACAACTTGCCTTTTTGGGGGTGTGAGATGGGTTAAGCACATGTTGGACGACGGACATCACCATCAACCTCAGCAGCCTCCCTCACCCCGCAGAATCTCGGCTACTCATCCCTTTGCTCCTAGTAGCGTCCTTGCTCCTAGTAGTGCGGCCAGGAGCCCCTAGTAGCTTCTTGTTCCTAGTAGCGATGCCAGGAGCCCCTAGTAGCATCCAAAGGTGTTTCAAATTCATTGCAGAGGATGGTAGAACAGTCAAGTGATTTCTAGCATGTCCCTAGCTATTCCTGTGAGTGAGTCGATCACTTAGTTGCGAAGCTGGATCCGAGCTAAGGTGATGCTCCGACTTTGATTAGCGCAGGAAGCTCCAGTGTGACCCTACGATGGCGGGTGCGCCGTCGGGATTTGTTGTTTTGCGTTCAACGTTTTGCTTTTGCTCAGCATCATTCACTATCTACAGGATCTCTAAGCCGACGTTTGATTTTGATCCAGGTCCCAGTGGAGACCAAAGTGGAGGACATCAAGGCTGAGTGGCGACCCTCTGGGTGGATTCTTGCAGGCGCTTGGAGGTGCAACGGGATCAGTCGCGTCCTTGCTCCTAGTAGCGATGCCCTAGTAGCTTCTTTCCTTTGCAGTAATGAGAATGTTTGCGATTTACAGCTGCCATGCTGAATCTTATGCGCAGATTCTTCTATCTAGTTGCCTAGTCACTAGCTCCATCTCATGTTATGTTTGCAAATTCATCTCCTTTCCATGACAAACAAACACTCGAAGCAATTTCAGTTGTATCTCCCAGAGGCAAGTCACACTATCGACAGACGACATCAGCATACAGCCCCGCACTGCAAGCTCCTCTTCCCTTTGTGAAGAAGATGCTTGGCGAAGAGAGCTGAAGACATTGAGCTTCCCTAAAATAATCTAGGAACCAAATCATTCGTGCGAGCGCTTCTTCAAGGAAGCTCTCCTCCGCCCTCAGGTTGGGGGAGCTTCCTTGAAGAAGCGCGAGCTATCCTGCGTGCAGTAGGCAGTAGCTGAAGTAGCTAGAAGCTTACTCCCTTACTTAACTACAGTAAGTAGGCGGCTAGTTAAGTAAGGAGGCAGGGCAACGGGCAAAAGAAAAGGAAAAACAGCTAGGTGGTGGTAATAGCATGTAATAGCTTCTTAAGCTTAATAGTTACCGGATTCCTACTAGCTACTTAACCTCACCTCACGACCTACCCTTCTGGTTTACCAGCCGCTTACCAGCATGTGCCCAAAGAAGTCGGGAGACCATTTTTCTCCAAGGTAAAAGAGCTTTTTGTTACTAGTAGCGATGCCAGGAGCTACTAGTAGCGTCCTTGCTCCTAGCAATGCCCTTTGTTACTAGTAGCTTCTTGTTACTCCAACCCAAGAGCGATGGCCTCCAAGGTAGAAGAGCTTCCTCCGTACGCTGTAACTGTAACCTTGCGCGGCCTCGAACCGCTCGGGTCCTATGATGCATCTTGGACTGCAGGCAGCCGACTTGTACATGTACAATCATGTATAGAGAATTAAATGTTTGGAAAGAAATACTTACCAAGGTGTCCAGGGCCTCTTTAATGAGGCGCCTTTAAATGGGGCGTTATCAAAGAGGCGGCAGTCAACCTTTCTTTAATCCTTTCAAGGTCTTGTAGGAAGACCTGCTTAGCTGCTTCATTGTCACCCAAGCCTAGGTCCGCTTGGATGTTGGAGGCTTCAAGAAAAGTACGCCTCGAAGGTCAGAAACACGTGCTTTTGCTGGTTGCTGCTGTACATTTGCATTTCTTTGCCGCTGTGACGTTGATTCTGATGCATTCTGTGCATTATACCGAAAGACCGTGACAAGGTGTCAGACATTGGCTGTGGCTCCACCACTGCATGCTGCACCGCGCTTGAAGTGTGCCAGGCTGGGGGGAAGGGAATTAGTCCCACGAACCAAGGAAGAAAGAAAGGAACTCAAGAAGTATAAAGAAGATCTATGAAGATCTAAAGTGCTTTTGTTCAACCGTGTGCCCAGCATCGAGCGTAGCGTACAAGCTGCATCAGTTCGAGTTGGTTGAATAGGATCAACGCGCCAGGTATGACCGCTTGCTGCTTAAGTGGGCAAGTCCTAGCTCCCAAGTGGATGAGGCTGCTTGGAAATAAAGTATGTGGCTGATGTGCAAGCAAAAAAGAAGCGTAGAGCTAGATTCAGCTAGATAAGTTTCGGTTGTTAAAGAATCAGATGAATCAGATGCGCGAAGGGACGTGTCATTCTATGCGAAGGGACCTCCTTTGAGGAGTTGCAGACCTTGTACTTTCAGGTCACGAGCTACATCGTGCGCTTTTTTGACACGGAACCACGCTGGCCTGTGAAGCATGAGATTGAGGTGGCCTTTGCAAGCCTTGCACGCATGGAGTAGCCTTATGCTCGAACATGTGGAGCAAAGAGCAACATGATGGACGTTTTAGACTGAAAACCTAATAGCGTCCTTGCTACTAGTAGCATCCTTGTTCCTAGTAAGGCCAGGAGCTACTAGTAGCGTTCTTGCTCCTAGTAGCGATGCCCTTTGTTACTAGTAGCTTCTTGTTATTTTCTATTTTGATTTTGTATGATTTGTAGGATTTTGCTGAGAAAGATTCACCGCAAACAGGTGAAGCTAGCATCTCGCTTGCTGAAGCCCAGCGCGCAGACTGCGAAGTTTCTTGAAGGCAGGGACACTTGGAGCTGAGCTCCAGTTCCGACCATTTCAGTGTGGAGCCGGCCAAGCGGCATCCCGCGGTCTCATGACATGACATGTAAAACCTTATATAATGTGTTTTGGGTAACCGCGAAACTTATGGTGTTTGTATACGGCCTCATTTGCCGATCATGACTGTTAGACGGGGAACTGACGGGAGTTTGAGGCAGTGTTGCCATGCTGATCAGCACAGCGGTGGAGGAAGAATCGGATCCATTGGATGATGAGCCGGTGAGTCGCTTGGATGCATTGGTGGCAAGGAGTGGGAGGTCTTGGAGGCCGTGCCGCACTTAATTAAGTAGGCGCCTACTTACTGTAATTAAGTAAGGGAGTAAGCTTCTAGCTACTTCAGCTACTAGCTAGCATCTAGTAAGTGGACGCAGGATAGCTCGCGCTTCTTCAAGGAAGCTCCCCCAACCTGAGGGCGGGGGGGAGATTGCTTGAAGAAGCGCTCGCACGAATGATTTGCTTCCTAGATTATTTTAGGGAAACTCATCAATGTTATGGCTTTGTGCGCTGCGTGCATCGCGGACTGCGAGCTTGAATCCTGCTAGTCTGAGATTGAGCGAGAATCGAGAACATTGTTTCTGTTTTCCTGGCACATCAATGCAATTCAATGCATCATAGTGGGCTTTCTTCGAAGGAAGCGCGAGCTGCGAGGATTGTCAAGAGGTGTCTTGGCAAGAGCATGGTGATTATGGTGAGCTAAGCTGACGTGCTTGGGTAAGTGGACACGGGCCGATGAACATGATAAAGCAAAAGGCAGAGTACGGTACATCCTTTCATTCATTTGCTGACTAGTTGCGCAGACCAGACAAGGAGCTGGTTTGTTACACAAATGAAGTCAAAGTTTAACGGAAACAGCTCAGCTGCTTTAAAAAATCTCTTTGAGGTGTGCTGTCTTGGTCTCAGTTGAAGAACAGCGCTTTCCTGCCTTCTAAGGTGCACTTTTGGCTTACTGGCCTCGCAGCTTCACGAATGTACTATGTACAAGTGGCCGCAAAGACGGCAAGTGGTCAAGGACTGTTCTGCAGCTTTCTGCCTTCGCTTTGACATTCCTTGCCCACCGCAACAGCGGACCGGACCTGGCAGGAGAATGGTCACCTAAGAGTGATCCACTTTTTACGTGGCGCAGAGCACCAAAGGCGAATGCTTGGTCCTGTGTAGGCTTTTGAGGTGATCATCTATTCGTATTGTCTAATAGCTTCTTGTTACTACTAGTAAGGCACTTGTTACTACTAGTAAGGCACTTGTTACTACCAGTAAGGCACTTGTTACTACTAGTAAGGCACTTGTTACTACTAGTAAGGCACTTGTTACTACTAGCGTGGGCTACTAGTAAGGCACTTGTTACTACTAGTAAGGCACTTGTTACTACTAGTAAGGCACTTGTTACTACTAGTAAGGCACTTGTTACTAGATTGTTGCAATCGAGTGCCTTTGAGTGCTTTAACGACTCGCCTGCCTTCCTGACAGCTTGCCGCGCCAAAGCTTCTCTTCCCCTCGCATGGCTCTTTGGTCTTTGGTTTGGCGTGCCTTGACGTTGCGATTTAAACCGTGTCAGCACTTATGCTGCTACAATCGAAATCACCTAATTATGATATGCCTGCCAAGGTATGAATCCCTTGAAGAACCTAGCAAAGGGCAAGATGAGGAGGTGGAACACTTTGAAATGCAGCTGCCCGACCCAAGTTGCAGAAGTTATGAGGAACATCCATTTTGTTACCCTATAGTCCAAGCACAGTCTAGAAGGAAGGAATAGAGAACGACAAACAGGTCGAACAGTCTGAAGAAAAACACAAGAAACCATCCATGATGATTTTTAGGATCAAGAGAATTGTGTTTTTACTTGTTTTCTTTAGACATTTTGAGCCTTGGAGTTTCTTTTGTTCAGTCTTCCCAGCAAGAGCAACTAGAAAGAACCCTCTCAAACGCTCTCTGATTCGGGTTTGTATCACTATTCGTCGCCCAGGTTGCAACCAAGCCAGCGAGGCTATGAGGTTCAAAACTTGGAGGCCCAGAACGCTTCAATGCACACTTTTCGATGCACAACGGGTTCAAGACCTGCTTCACATCTGCTTCCTTTGGTCTAAAAGAAGCCTCTTTTGTATTCAATGCGTGAAAGAACACATGTCGAATGCTGCTGATGTCTTTCATTTCGCCGATATGACAAATAGGCTTTTCATCACAAGGAGTCTCCCTGCAGAGTATACCAGTAGGTCCTGGGCCGTCTCGGCTAATTTGCTTCCGTTGCCTGCACAGCAAGCTCATTTCCCGAAAGACAGCTCTCAGCTCACCTACTTTGCATTCCTGATTGTGCAGTTTTCCTCCAGCGATGCCTCAATGTTGGCTACGACCTTGAGACCACACCTGCACTTGGATGACGAGGTGTTCCCTTCACACGCTCCTCGCTCTGAAGTCGTCCAACTATCGAACTGAGCCTTCGTTGTGTTTCCCATGTTATTAGTAGCTTCTTGATGCTTGTAGTAACAAGTGCATCGATAGTAGTAACAAGTGCCTTACTAGTAGTAACAAGAAGCTAGTAGAAACAATAAGCTAATAGCTACTTGCTCCTAGTAGTACGGCCAGGAGCCCCGAACGTACCGTCCTTGCTCCTAATAGCGATGCCCTTTGCTAGTAGCTTCTTTGTTTTGTACATCATGACATTACATAGTATTATATATACATTATTATTCTCTTATGCTGATGCTTATACTTTCGTGAGAGAGACATTGGAAGCAAGGCTTTCTGCTTTCAGGTGGTCATTGCAAGTGGCTTGACAAGCCGGAGTGGCTATTCTTGCACAGCACTGGCTATCACCCATGCTGGACGCGGTGAGATCTCACAGATCACCCGTGCAGAGACGCTAGCCGTTCCTCCTGCAATCGCAGATGTGAAAGTGCCTGGGCAAGTGTTTGTTGTGTTGTTGTTTTGAATCTTTTGAATCTTTTTGATGTGTTTGTTGTTTTCTTCGTTGGCACCAGAGTGGTCTCATTGAGCGTCCATCGGGTTTGACGAATCGCGGCGGAGGTGGAACAGGTGGATCACAACAGCGCCACCATCTCTTGGAGGTTGTCTGAGCGTGGCGCGGCAAGCTTCATCCGCTCAAGTCTGCAGAACACGGTGAACACATGTGAACACCAACAACAAAATAACATAAAATAACACAACAAGATGATTTTGTTCGTTTTCTATCTTCTTGCCTTGCGCATTACATACAGCGAAGACTATTGGAATTGGGAGCAAAGGTACAGATATCCAGGAGTTGATGAAGATTTGCATGCCTGACTCCACAGAGTTTCAAGAGCGCCAACTGCGAGGCAAAGTTCGAAGAAATGACTCGAAGTTAAGACGCTAGTGTAGGCGCTAGTGTAGGTTGAGGCCAAGATGAAGAGCTGCGAGGGGCTAGTCACTTAGCAATAGCATGCAATAGCATGGTAGATCATGGTAGCATGTCGTAGCAAACTTCTTCAAAATCACGAGTTGGCATTGACCTCGTTGTTTCCCGATGCTTGGCCAAAGTCGCAGCAAACGAGCTTTGACTCCACAGGCTTTCGAATTCGAATCTGCTACGAGCCCGAGCTGGAAACTACAGGCCGAGATTGAGCGGGCCAGGTCCTGACAATTGCTGCTCCCATTAAGCTCATCTCCAATTCGCGGGTTTAACATGGTTTAACCTGGTTTTGATATCAGGTCGGCAACTAGATTTTGCAGATTCAGACTATTCATGGAGTACATATGGACTCAGGTAATGATCATGATCATAATCTAGGATGAACTTGGATTGAAACTACGAAACATTTGTCTATGCCCACCCATGCCACTGAGCATAGCCACTTTCAGACTACCTCTGGTGGCATAATGCGTGCATCTTAAGGGCACAGAAACGATTAGCTTGAACATTGGTTGATGTGTTGGAGTGATTTGAAATCCACTTACAACTCAACATGCGAAATCCATTTGGTCATTTGGCCTTCTCAAGGCAGTGGCATCCGTGCGCAGCCTCTGTGGACTGAGATCCTGGGAGCACGTGCAGCTGCTACCGCCTCTGAAAAGCCAGGCGAAACTTCTATCATTGGAATACGTCCTCTTCGAAAAGAAAAGTGTTTCTGCAGCAGATAGATCTTTGTTTCTGTTTCCTTCAAAGTATTTCTTGCCAGGCTACTACTCATTGAAGGTCCGTGAGCTTCGACCCAGCAGCACCTGCCTCGTGCAGGTAGCAGCTGTTGCTGTGGGGCCAGGAGACTTCAAAAATGCAAAGTCTTGTTGGCTAAGTGCCCTTTGCTCCTAGTAGCAATGCCAGGAGCCCCGTTCGTAGCGAACATTGCTCCTAGTAGTCTTGTTGGCTAAATGCTCCAAATGCGTATTTGTTTCGGATTAGCAATAGCCTCCAACCCAATAGCGATGGCCTCCAAAATGGAAGCGATGGAGTCTTGTTGGCATCAATTGTGTCTTCAATGTGTCTTTCCATGTCTTTCCTACCTCAGGAGATGGTGAGTGGTCTGATTCAGCGCAAATTTGTACAGAAGCGCTGGCTCCAGAACTCCGGGGTGAAAACCTCAGATCTTGGATACAGGTGACATACTGGTGACATACGACAAACACACTTCTAGGTTGGAGGCTATCGCTATTAGGTTGGAGGCCATTGTTATTAGGAGCAAAGAAACATTAAATTTGTCTTTGTTTTTCTTACAAACACAAGAATTCCCACGGCTACGCATGGGCACCGCAATATCAGGGCGTTTGGACGTCGAGATGAGCTTCCGACAAAGTGCAAAGCTCAAATGGGTGACACCCAAAGACATTGCAGGCAAGATCCGGTGGCGGGCCAAATAATTCACGTGTTGCTCAAAGCGTTTTGAAATACGTTCTTTTTTAGTGCAATCAAGACCCCCCTCTTGTGCAGTCTCTTTAATCCTGTTTGCAACCTCAAAGGCAAAAACCAGCCTTTCATTTGGAATACTGAACATCCATGCATTCCTCACAGGTTCGCCAGTGCACGCGTACATGGTGTACCTTGGGCGGGCCCGTGATCGTGGCCGCTCAGCAGTCCGTGAGTTCGAGCTGCCCTTGCAGCCTGGCAAAATGGATCAACAGTTCACAAAAAAGCAACATTTCATCATAAACTGCTTCTTCCTTATAGAGCGCTGGCCTCCAACCTCCTAGCGATGGCCTCCAACGTACTAGCGATAGCCTCCAACCTACTGCGATCATAAACTGATTCTTCCTTTACATTTTTGCTTGAGGTACAACAAGTTCTCAGACCTCGTTCTTTTGAAAACACATGTTTGATTTTTAAAAGGCTCGGTTTGGAATGATGCTTGATTATATAATCCGTTCAATTGGACATCTGATTGACACATATTGAGACCCTATAGGACCTTAAACGTATCGAGAACAGTTGAACCGTTTACCAACTTTATGAACATGTTCTTCTTGATGAAGATGTGCATGTATCAATTGTCAATCCCTGCAGGCAGGCAGTATCTGCAGGCACGGCGGAGGCAGCGAGCTGAGCGTTTTCGCACAGTTACCACTCCCACCCGTGTTCGACAGTAACAAGGGCATCGCTACTAGTAACAGGGGCATTACTACTAGTAGCTAGTAAGAAGGGCATATTAAGTCACAAAGAAGGGTTGTTTGCTGAGGCAGTCGAAATGGGATGCTCAGCTGCAACAAGTTCTTTAATTGTTGCCTTGTAATTGTGGAGATTTCCTGAGAGAGAAACGCACGAATAGTTGGAACCTCCAAACCCATCCAACATATTCCCAAACCTTCTCAGAAGCAGTGTAGATCCCCCGTTGCTTGCGCTTTGCATGAGAAGCCTCAAAAGCCGCATCCGTTTCGTGATGAAGCCTTGAAGACTTGAAGCCTGGCTAGGCTCCATTTGGAAGCATGAAGGCTCGATTACCTACATGGAGCTCCGGATGCTTGAGCCTGGTACAGCTTACACTGTCCAGGCCGCTCTTGAAAGGACATTTCTTTGTGGAGAACAACAAGACACGCTTGGAGTAATGCTAGTCTATAGGAGCAATGCCGGGAGTTTTTGTCAGGTCTAAACTCATTCTCATTTCCAGGTTCTAGTGCTTACCTTCTAGAATTCTCATACAATATATATTATAATATACACATAAACATACTTCCACTTTTGTTCGCCTGATGCACGCTGTGCCTTTGGCAAGTCATGGCCCAATGGACAAGAACGGTGTGTTGAGATTTGCTTGATTGTGGCCTTATGTTTGCGACACATGACGCACTGTTGGCTTTTTTTGCACATGATTTGAGTGAGGAGGGAGTTCAAAGCGAGTTTCTCAAAGCTAAAGGCTAGTGAAGAAACACACGTTCAATCATAGTCTGATGCCAGTGGTAAAAACCTGCAAAGCTGCGAGCAGCACATGGTAAAAGCCTCCAACCTACTAGCCATGGCCTCCAACATAATAGCGATGGCCTCTAACCTAATAGCGATGGCCTCCACCCTAATAGCGATGGCCTCCACCCTAATAGCGATGGGCTCCAACCTAATAGCGATAGCGATGGCCTCCACCCTAATAGCGATGGCCTCCAACCTAATAGCGATGACCTCCAACCTAATAGCGATGGCCTCCACGCTAATAGCGATGGCCTCCAACCAAGTTGCGATGGCCTCCAACCTAAGAGCTCAAGATTCGGCAACCTTAATTACGTTCTTCTTCATAGCCGAGAATTATCAGATCTAGCTGCAAAGGAAGAGGAAGAGATCACGCTCAGTCCAAATTCTATCGTTGGAGGTAAAGTCCAACCTGATTTGAGGTACTCGTAGCTGGTAGAGGTCAATCTTAATTGAGCTCCTTGCAGATTTGTAGTGTCTTTTCGTGGTGTCCATGCAGCACACCAGCCGCATGGACAGACCGTCCGTCCAGGTTGCAGCTGTGACCTTACGAGGGCTTGGTGAAAGGAGCGAACCATGCAACTTCACCACGCGATCTGTGGCGCCTTCCATGGGAGTCACCCGTCCGAACCGGTCGAAGCAGTCTGCCTCTTCTAGGTCTCTTCTGGCCAGGAGCCCCTAGTAGCTTCTTGTTCGTAGTAGCGATGCCAGGAGCCCCTAGTAGCGTCCTTGCTCCTAGTAGTACGGCCAGGAGCCCCTAGTAGCTTCTAGACCTTTAGAGTCCAGACCTCTTTTCTTTCTTTTGCTTTGCAAGCTTGTCTAAAATCTAAAACCTTCAGGGCTCCTCACGCGCCTTCTTTGAGGATCTGAAGAACTGGTGGTTTTGTTTAGAGTAAACTCAGTATTTGCTTGCAGTCGTTAGAATGAATGAATTGAAAGAGTTGCCGTGCTTTCACTAGATTTGTCTTTTGTCCTGAGCAAATCTCTTTTGATTTGTTACCTGGACCATTCCCCCATAGCAATTGAGCTGTCTTTATCTTTTTTCACCAAGGCGATCCTTCCGAGAGTGGTGCACTCCTACCATGACCACTTGGTCTTGGAATGTTCAGGTTTGGGTCGCATGCAGCTTCTTGTATCATTTTCTACCAACTCACAGGATTGCACCAGTGTTTTCATCATTCATGCGGTGCGTCCGGTGCAGTTCAAAGTTTCTTTCATCAAAGAATAACTTGTTGATGGCACGAGGTCCGGTGCCGGATTGGTCACGATCAGAAAGCAGTGATGTCACTGGCTTCAGCGCGAGATACTTTGAATGCTCCCAGGCTGATAAGATCTAACATATAATAGGCTGTTTTTTTGACATTTTGGAACGCCAAAGTATGTTTGAAACATGTTGCAAGTGATCTCCACCTATCTCCACCTACACCGGACAGCACAGTGCTGTCCTTGGCGACTCAACCTTTCAAGGATATATATATGGAAGGAACCGAACTCGAACTCGATCTTGAACTCGATCTCGAACTTGAACTGGAACTGTTAGAAGTCAACCCAGTGGACGAATAGAAAGAGTCGAACTCCAAAATCGCTGTCGTCGATTCGAATTCGAACTCAAACTCGAACTAGTTCCCCCCCCGGAGTGAAAAAATTATCGTCGATTCGAAGTCGAATTCGAACTAATGCTGCGTTGTAATGGCTCCTTCCTATTCTAAATTTCACCTTCAAATGGCCCATAACAGGAATGCTACAGTGTAATATAATGGCTCCTTCCGGCTGTAAATTTTACCCTCGGGTGGCCCACAAAAGGCATGCTACGTTGCAATGGCTTCTTCCTTTTCTAAATTTTACTTTCGAATGGCCCATCAAAGGAATGCTACGTTGTAAATCGTTGTAATGGCTCCTTCCTACTCTAAAATTTACCATCGGGTGGCTCACAAAAAGAAATGCTTCGTTGTAATGGCTCCTTCCTGCTCTAAATTTTACCCTCGGGTGGCCCACAAAAGGCACGCTACGTTGCAATGGCTTCTTCCTTTTCTAAATTTTACCCACGAAAGGAATGCTACGTTGCAATGGCTTTTTCCTACTCTAAACTGTATCTGTGGCCCACAAAAGGCATGCCACGTTGCAATAGGCTTCTTCCTATTCTAAATTTTACCCTCGGATGGCCCACAAAAGGGATGCTACGTTGTGGTCAGATGGTTGGTTGCTGCTGGCGCCGCTGGCAGGTGGCTGTTGGTTGGTTGGTTAGCAGGTTTTTTT